TTGATTTTTTACAGAGAGGAAGGGAGAGGGATAGAGAGTTAGAAACATCGATGAGCTGCCTCCTGCACACTCCCTACTGGGTATGTGCCCACAACCAAGGTATATGTCCTTGACAGGATTCGAACCTGGGACACTTGAGTCCACAGGCCGACGCTCAATCCACTGAGCCAAACCGGTTAGGGCTCATCATTGATGTTTCTATCTCTCTCTCCCTTCCTCTCTGAAATCAATAAAAATATTTTTTAAAGGAAGGGCCATCACCCTTCAAATACAAATAAGACTTTTCAGCTAGGCTAATGCCTCAGTTTTGCTGTTTGTTTGCTTTCTGTGAGTATGTGTAGTCAAGGCAAATCAGACACTTGCCATTTTTGGTCAGAACAAATACATTGAGAGCTTCAAAATCAGGTCTAAAGTTTCAGAGCAAGCTAAGTTAGATTGTTTGTGTTGATAAACAAACATTTACTATTTCCTTATTGGGGTCATTCCTCAAACCATACATATCAGTTTGACAATATTGTCTAAAATATTTTTTCAGCCAGTGTCAAAACAGAGATTCTAAAATAGTTGCTATATATCTGATGCTACATCATTTTTTTTTCTGAAAATACTCAATTAAATTCTGATTAGAATCATCCCCCAAAACTTTTATCCTGGTTCTAGATTATCAGAGCAGAATAAAAAGTAAAGTGAAAGGTCCTTTAAAGGAGACATATGTAATACCCTTTGTAATACTTTAAGCAATAAAAACAAACAAGGGCGGGGGGGAAAGGAGACATATGTAATACCCTTTGTAATACTTTAAGCAATAAAGTGAAAGGTCCTTCAGCTTAGAAACTCCATAGGTATCAGTTGGGTACATAGTCAGTCCTTCAGAAAGGAAAAACCTGTGAGTTTGTTGCTCTTAGTAAAACACCATGTGGCCATTCCATTCATTTACATATTGTCTGTGGCTGCTTTCACACAACAGAATAGTTGTGACAGACTATAGGGCCTACAAAGGCTGAAATACTTAGTATCTGGCTCTTTACAAGTCTGCCAACCTCTGCACTAGTTCATCCCACTTACTTTTCAGATGGGCAATCTCAGGCCTGGATGAAAAACAAAGTGACTTTGTAGCGCTTGGCAGTGTCCCCTCTATTACAATACTCTTGTCTTTGCCTGTCCCCTCTACTGGATGGGACACAATCTTTTATTTCCCACACTGATTTTCATTTCAGTGCTTAGTAATAGAGGTTTGTTGAATTGCATTAACTTGCCCAGGGTAACAGGGGTAATTAGCAGTGGAACCTGGGTTGAAACCCAGATATACTGTTACAGAAGAGCAAAGAAATACCAAGCACACTTCCTAGAGAAAGGGAGGGACCCCGTTTATTAACACTAGTGGACTCTGGGAATAATTTCCAAATCAGAGTGAAGTAACACACAGAGGCTTCACTTTTTATAACCTTCTGGGGTCTTTGTCTTGCAGATATGGTTCCACCCCCTTTCGTGGGCTTGTGGCCCCCAGGTGTTGATGATCTTGTCCTGGGGCCAGCGATAACGACCTTCCCTCGCGCCCCCCCCCCCCCAGGGTAGTGCATTGTTCACAGTTTTTAAGGCCTGACACGCCTTGCAAGAACAGTTTCCTCCTCAATACAAACGCCTGAACCAGTGGAAAGGACAGTCAACTAGCCATGTCACTTTGGCTGAGATAATTATCTTATCTGAGCCTCTCAGTTTCTTCATCTGCAAAATGGGTATAACAATCTATTCCTTGTGGGGTTTTTATGAAAAGTTGTTGAGATAATGTATGTATGGAATAGGCCCTCCATAAGTATGGATTCCCTTCCCCGCTCCTTTCTCTCGCAAAACTGTTAGGGTTCCCTGAGGAAATTGAACCAAATAGTTATGGAGCTTTAGCTAGGGATGAGACCCTGGGCTCAGCCCTTTGGTAGATACAAAGGTTGTTACCCATTTAGTGGCAATGATGAGCCTGATGGTGTAGCCGCCCCCTCCACATTCACCCCAGGCTGGCAACAGAAGAAGGGGGTGTCTTTCCTGTTCCTGTTTCTCTCCAAGAAGGAGCAGATCACCCTAACCAGTTTGGCTCAGTGGATAGAGCGTCGGTCTGAGGACTGAAGGGTCCCAAGTTCGATTCCGGCCAAGGGCATGTACCTGGGTTGCGGGCACATCCCCAGTAGGGGGTGTGCAGGAGGCAGCTGATCGATGTTTCTCTCTCATTAATGTTTCTAACTCTATCCCTCTCCCTTGCTCTCTGTAAAAAAATCAATAAAATGCATTTTTAAAAAAAGAAAGAAAACAATTTAAAAAAAAAGAAGGAGCAGATCCCACCGCCCTCCGCTTCTCTTCCGACTATTTAAGCTACTAAACAGCTGACCTCCCCTCCCCAGCCATCCTCCTTGGCTCCCTATCACCCTGTCTGGCCTTGCCCCACTTCCCTCTGACTTCCTCACCTTTGGAGCACAGCTGATTAAATGAGCCCCGTTTCCCTGGCTCCCTGCCTTCTTGAGGTGATGCTCAAAGAAGGGACCCATTAGTCAGGGAGAGGGGTGAACCAATAAGTCAGTAAAAGTGAGGAAGAGAGCAAAGCATATTGTTTTTTATACTTAAAGTAAAATAATTTACAGGGATAAATACATACGCCTGCATAAACCACCAAAATGAATTCCAGAACAAAGACTGGATTTTCAGAGAATTGCTTCATGAATTCAAAACAGAATGGCTTCTCCCTAGCTGTCAGTGAAATGCAGGATAACTGATCTCCCTCTAACCAGATCATAGGTCTTGACCAGCCAAACAGACATAATAATACAAGCAAAGGCAATTCCTTCTTTCTCTGGCTAGAAGAAACCTGGGGTGAAACTCCAAATCCAGACAGTTTTAAAAACCATTTCAAAACAGGTATAATTCTTGAGTTATTTGGACTAATTTTTAGCAGGCAGTAGTTAGTGCTGGGAAGTCTAAACTATAGGTTTTTAATTTTAAATAAATATAGATTTGCTTTCAAATATAGCCAGTAATTCAACCTGCTTTTAAAAGCATAATTCTATTCATTAAAAATCATAAACTGGATCTGTTTTGACAAATAGCTAAGAACAGAGTTGTAATAGCACCACTCTCACTGGTTGGCAAACAGCTGCGATGAAGCCCTTGAAAAGTCTCGGAAGGAGGTTACAAATTCTCTTTTGAAATCATGATTATGCTTCACGTCATTGGCAAGCTTTGCTTTGATGGTCTAGCTCTGACAAAATGACAAGTTCAGAATTTGCAGAGTTTAAATAAAAACAGAATTACTATGAAGGACTGGGAGGCAAGCCCAAGGCCTTTTGAAAACTGCTGGCCTGGTGTCTACCAGGCAGTAAATACTTTCCTCAGAGGAGAGTACCAGGCTCCGTGGCCACCCCCAGCATAGCCTACCCTGAGAACCGCATTAGAGGCAGGCCCTGCTTCTTCATAGTGAGTGAGGGGACACTCTGAGTCTCCCCTTCTTTTTTTTAAGTCTCTGGCTTCATGAAGCAGTAGTCTTGTGGGAAATAGTGCTGAATGGGAGGTTAGGATACTGGATCCCAGCTCTGATACCTGCCAGCTGTATGACCTTGAGCAGAACATTTCTCCTTTTTGGGCAATCTTCAAATAAGGCAATTGGAGCTCAGTTGATCAGATCAGACAAATAACCATTGTGCTGGGCCTGCCAGAACTGAATTCACTTGCACACAGGACATTATCAATGAATATTATAACTAAACAGGACCTTTTGGTGATTAGCTTGACTTTTTCATTTTCCCCCAAAGAAATGAAGGGACCTGTCCAAGGTCACATAATTAGTTAGAGGCAGAATCAGATTAGAACCCAGGTTTCCTACCTCTCAGTTCCATGCTCCGGCCAGAACACCACATTATCTGAAAAATCCTAAAGAAAGTACATTTTATCTCCTTTGCATCATGTATCTCCCAGACATGTTGCTGAGCTTTGTCTCCATCCTGCCCACTCATCAAAATTGCTCTGGATTAAGTAGCTAAATCCTTCTACTCTTTGCACGCAAAATTCTGCTCGCACCAGTGGCTTCACTGAGACCTGACGCAGGCAGGCTCTGAGCCAACCTTTGCCCAAACTCCAGCTTTAGGAGCAGGAGATAAATGGGGTCTGTGTTCCCTAGGGTGCCCTCACTTTGGAGTCTCACGGAATAAACATCTTTGAGATGAATTTTCAGAAATCACTCCCCCAATTCAATCTTCCAGGTTATTGAATCATGCAATGGATTCAGTAGGAAGGCTCCTCATGGGGACAGAGAACTTCTTGGAAAGGAACAGGAGAAAGCCCCAGGGTTAGCACTCCTGGTATCTGGTCTCCAGTCAGCACAGAGAGAGGGCTCGGCACCTAGCGTTGGCTTGTCAGTGGATGAATGGAGCTCTCATCTTCACTATTTTAAAAACAAAACAAAACCAAAAACAGCCCTCCCCCTTCTTTCTCGGACCCCATCCAAGACACCAGACCCTCCAAGTCTGGAATGTGAACAAATAAGATTAAATGAAAGTAAGGGTACTAGATAAACCCTAAACACCATGCACATGGAAGAGATTATCATTTTTCCCTGCCTGATATCTCCTTGGACATTTTCCAAAACCCAGCTCAAATATCATTTCAAAAGACCCAGCCAGACAACCTGGTTCAAATCCTGACTCCACCCCCTATTTGCTGTGTGACATTGAACAAGTGGTTTGATTTCATTAGGCCTCAGTTCCTTCTCCTACCAATGGGGGATCATAGTAATAACCATTTTATAGGATGCTGGGGGGTGGGGTGAACCAAGGTCACTCCGTACAAAGACCCCAGAATAGTGCCTGGCAGAGAACAGGCCTCTAAACGTTGAATGAAAAGCAAGGGAACCAGAGCACCCATCTCTTGAAGTGTGACCCAGCACTTTCCATTCTTTAGTCCCAGCCTTCCCTCACCCTTTTGCCCCAAAGTGGCTAGAAAAACCTGAGCTACCCTGTGCTTACCTTGCTGAAGTCCCCTAGGGCCATAACCTTGGCCACTGGCCTCCTGCTGAGCTGCTCCTTCACCCAGAGCTCAAGCTTCTTGTTCCACTTCATGGTGAACACATAGGAGGCATAGGCCAGCAGCAGCAGCAGGCTCTCCCACCAGACAATGAGGCTGTCCAGGAAGAAGAGAATGAGCATCATCAGGTCAAGGATGTAGAAGGAGACGTCACGGAACAAGGGCCACCAAGTGAGGTGGAGGATCTCCCGGGAGAACAGGGCACAGGTGCCGATGACAAAGAGGATGTTGAACACAGCAGAGCCCACAATTGTGCCGATGCCCACATTGCTGTGGGAGATGAAGACGCCGATGAGGGAGGTGAAGAGCTCGGGGGCAGAGCCTCCTGCAGCCATGAATGTGGCACCTGCCACATCCTCAGAGATCTGCAGCTTGTCTGTGATGACACCCAGGGCTGGGACAAAGTACTCATCACACACGATGGCCAAGGCCACAAACACGTACATCATGCCAAAGATGTGCAGGACTACCCAGCCCTGCCTCCGCTCCTCCACGCTGAACACGTCTGGGGGGTACTCTGCCTTAGGGTGGTCTGGCCAGCTGGGGGGCAGCGCCGAGGGACTGGGACTGGGTGCCTCTGGGAGCGGGGCCGTTGTCAGGCTGGGGGAGGGGGTAGTGGGCATGGCTGGAGCTGGCTCCACACAGTGACGAACCTGGGTGGTCGGATTTGCCCTGATGCTGAGGGTTGCTGAGGTGCTTGGTGCTGTGGGAGGTTTCTTCGCCAGCCCCCAGAAGGTGGCTAAGGATAATCCAGTGGTTGGAGCACTGGTTCTGGACGAGGGATTCCTAACCCTGGTGCTAATTGTCACTTGCCCATCAGAGGTGGCTGCAGTGTGCTCTAAAACTATTCCCTGGAAAGTCGTCAGGTTGTTCTTTCCCACTAACCTCGGAGGATTGGTTGAGCTGTTATTGTCCACTCTCCTGGGGTTAGTCAGCGTGTTCTTATCCACTGCACTCCTAGGAGAAGTCAAGATGTTTGTTTCTATGTAATTTATCAGGAAAGTTGGAGTCTTATCAGTTATTCTCTTAGTAGTTGGGGTGGTTTCCTCCACTACTCCCTTGGAGGGGCTGGTCTCCAATATTTTGTAGGTTGCCACAGTTTCAATGTCTTTCACTGTCATTCTGGGAGTGATCCCATGGCTTCTTGTCATTGTCATGAATGTGGTTGGGGCAGAGTTTACTGTTCTACCATGTGGGGATTGGGTGTATTTTTTCACCTTTCCCCTGGCTCGAGTTGGGGGGTAGTGCTTCATTTCTCCCCTGGGTGTTGCTGGGATATAATTCTTTATTGTTGATATGCTTGAAGTTGGGATGTAGTAATTCAGTACTCCACTTGGTCTGGTTGGGGTGTTCTCCTTCGTTCTGTCTGTGCCTGCTGCTGTTGGGCTGTAGTTATTCTTAGGTACTGTGGGAGAGATGTTGGCTATTCTTCTGGGTGTATTGAGAGTGTTCTCCATTGTTATGCCAGCTGTTGCTTCCTCCTTGCCCACTGTGCCTTGGGGTTCCAGTGTCTCACCCTCCATTTCAGAACTAGCCCTTGGAGGGTCACTGCTCACCGTCATCATCTCATTGTTGGGAAGGTCCCGGCTGGCCAGCTTTACAGGGTATTGGGAAGAGACTGCTGCCCACAGTGAGGGGAGGCCCAGAGGGCTCCTCAGGTGCTGGTAGGTGGAACCAATGATCAACATTCCCAGTAGGAAGAGGAAGCGACTCCATTGAAGCCGTTTTGGCAGGAGTAACCGCCTTTCCTGCGTCCCCATCCTGATTAATTTCCCCATGATGGCCAGTTATGCCAGGTTACGGAAGGCCTCTCATTCTGTTCACTGAAAGATGGGGGTTGTTCTGGGATTCAGGTTGGTGATCAGGGAAGATTTCTCCATGAAGCCCAGCTAAGAGATATCCACAAACCTAGAGAGAGGGGGAAATTAAATAAAAGAGGTTATCTGTCCCTAAGAGGAATGATGGGGTCCTCATCTGGAAAGAATATCATTTCATTCAGGGGCCATTGTGGTGGAAGATAGTTGTTTCTGTTAGAACAAAACTACCTCTGCCCCCTGCTCAAGGGGGCAATGCCTGTTTGGGAGAAAAAGAGCATCTAGGGGTCCTCTGTGCCGTGCAGGCATGCCAGCAGCCTGAGGTGGTTCCTGAGCTGGGTCCACCCAAGGTCTGGCAGCGCTCCTAAGTGCAAGCCTGAATTGCTGGGAGCTCATATGCCCCAGGCCACAGATCTCACCTTATTAAAGGCACAAGGGAAGTAAAAAGACATGGTTTTAAGCTCTGGACAAAAAGAGGCAGCAGTGGAAGACTGACAACTCTGCATGTTTTTTTTGTGTGTGTGTTTTTTTCAGACTTACTTAAAACAATTCCACCATATCATCCAGAGAGGATAAAGCTTAAAAGTTAATGTCATGTTACTTTCAACAATAAAGATTTAAAAAAGAAAGTAAAATAAAAAGTTAATGCCATGAAGGTTCTCAGACAGTGTAATGTGGCAGGAGGAATATGGAGAGTGGAGTCAAAGACCTGGATTCCCAGCTCTGCTGCTTGCCAGCTGTGTCACCCTGGACAAGCTGAGCCTCAGGGCCTCATCTGTGAAATGGGCATAATATATATGCATTGATCATGCAAAGATTATCTCTGGAAGGACATCTGGAGAAGGGAAACTAAAGGCCAGGGGTCAGTATAACTTACTGTTCAGTTTAACCAGTTAACTCTTTATTATATAGATGGTATCTGTTAAATTTAAATTATATAATTCAATGTAATAGAAATGACAATAGTAATAATAGTATCTAGCTATGTAAATAGTAATAACAATACCTACGTCATAGGAATGTTGGGAGAGTAAAACACATAAGGCCAGTGAAAAGCACTGTATAGAATCAAGTAAGGGCTATTTTACATAAGGACGCAGGAGGAAAGAACATGAAAGGCCCTCAGAGAATCCTCCATTTATCAAGGGCACTGAGGCCCAGTCCAAGTAAATATTTGTTAAATCTCCAATCAATGTGCTCAGATAATTACAAAATAGTACCTAGAAATGATCAGTTTTGCCTATGAGGTAATCTATTGGAAGGGAGATGAGTAACCCATAGAATCTTAGGAGGTTAAAGGTAGAAGAAGTTACTAACACAGTTCAGTATAACTCCCCATTTGAGACATGAGGAAACTGAGATCCAGCCCTGACCTGGTTGCTCAGTTGATTAAGGTTGTGGGTTCCATCCCTGATCAGAGCACATAAAAGAATCAACCAGAGAATACATAAATAAGTGGAACAACAAATCGATGTTTCTTTCTCTCAAATCAATAAATTAAAAAAAAGAAGAAGAAGAAACTGAGGTTGAGATGTGACTTGCTCAGTGTCACACAGCTAGTGAGTAGCAGTGCAAAGGAGCCTTCTAGTGCCCCAGTCTTTCCAGCTACCACACTAGAGATGCAAATGCAATTGTCTTAACAAGCACAAGAGGGATGAACAAAAGAATTACAAAATTAGTGATTCTCCTTCTTTGTTCTTGATTCCTATAATTATCTTCCCGCCATCTCCCTGTCCACCCTGTCCCTTACCATAAATTCAACACTTTGAATCTCCTACAGAAGCTTCGGAGGGTCTCTCTCTTTCTGGTATGCCTGTGTTATATAACAGAGTTGAGCCGGCACCGTCCTACTTAATCACCTACCTTCAAACCTGGACATCTGGGTTTCTTCTGTTTTGGAAACTTGTCAAAATGCAGGATATCAAAGAGTGGGTCTGAAGCTAGACAGCAGGGACTACCCCATTCTCCTGCCCCCAGCTCTCTTATGGAATCCTAGTTGAAGACAGGGTCGGGAGTGAAGGGCATCTCAGGGAAGAATATACAATCCCTGCTAATACCCCTTCTAAGAAGCTTATTAGGGCCTTGTACAAGTTCTGGGTCTTGGTGCCTTTGCCAGAGACTAAGAGGGTGCACCTTCCATCAGGGACCCAGATGGGCTTGCATGGGCCTCTGCAGTGGAGGAGGGAGTGGGGGGAACTTCTCAAACTTGCTTCTAACTTCTGGGAATGAGAGATGGTCTGGGGTTTCTAAGCTTGTGGGAAGGAAAGATTCAGAATTCGCACTCTAAGAACCAAGAGAAAGTGCCTGGGGCTTAAGAGATCAAAAGACCTCAGTTAGCAACATGCTCCATTTGCTACCATGTGATTCTAAATGTAATCTAAATGTAAATGTGGAGATAATAATAGCCACTTACCTATTTGTAGGGTAGATGTGAGAATCAAAATTTTAAATGAGGGAATATCAGCTCAATTTTGCTGTGAACCTGAAACTGCTCTAAGAAATAGTCTATTTTTTTAAAGATATGTTTTTATTGATTTTAGAGAGAGGAAGGGAGAGGGGAGAGAGAGAGAGAGAGAGAGAGAGAGAGAGAGAGAGAGAGAGAAACATCAATGTGAGAAAATGGATCTACTGCCTCCTGTACACACCGCAATCAGGGATGGAACCCGCAACCTGGGTATGTGCCCTGACTGGGAATGGAACTGGCAACCTGTCGGTGCATGGGACAACACTCAACCTTCTGAGCCACATCAGCCAGGGCAGAAATAGTTTATTTTTTTTAAACGAGGGAATGTGGCAAAGATACTTTATAAAACTTTAAAGCATTTCACACATGCAAAATATTTTATTAGGCCTAAGGGAAAGCCTTGGGGAAGAGGGCACTGACAGATCTCCCTAGAGCAGACTGGAACATCCCAAGATGCCCCAGGAGCTGTGTTTCCAACTCAGGGCTGGGGGTGAATGAAGTGGCAGTGAAGTGAGGCAATTGGGGGGGTCTCATGATCCCACCCATGGACCTGGCAGCCTTTTCAATCATTCAGCTAACTCTGCCTGATACTTATTGGATGCTCCTTTCTCCCCACCCTATTTTCCCCAAGGTATATGCATAGCCACTTTGATTACTTTCAGTGGAAAGAACAGGTAATCCCTGAGAGCCTCCCCACTACCCTACTTCCCCCCAAGTGGCCTACGACAGTGGGAAAGTTCCCTGCTTCCTCTCCAGAGCACACAGAGGTGCCACCCACTGTGGAAGAGCTGGCTTCATCTCTGGGTGTCCTGAAGTCACTCTGAATGTCGGAAGCCTGGGTAGAGGGGCTGACCTCTGCTAGTTACATCCTTGCCTTCAAACTCCTGCAGGCAGACCCAGATCTAGTTATTTCCCTTCTCCCACAAACTATCTAACACCCTCTCAGTCTGGTCCAGAAAGATGGAAAAAGGAACCCAATTCACAAGGTGGAATAATTTAGTACTAAAAAGAAATGAGCTATCAAGCCATGAGCAGACGTGGAGGAAACTTAAATGCATATTACTAAGCAAAAAAAGCCAATCTCAAAAGGTTACACACTGTATGATTCCAACTATATGATGTTCTGAAAAAGACAAAACTATGGAGACAATAAAAAGATCTGTGGTTGTTAAAAATCAGGGGAGAGGAAGGGATAAAAAGGCAGAGTATAAAGGATTTTTAGAGCAGTGAAACTACTCTGGTATAATACTATAATGGTGGATACATGTCATCATACATTTGTCAAATCTAGAGAATGTATAACACCAAGTGTGACCCCTAAGGTAAACCAGGGGCTTTGGGTTATAATGTGTCAATGTAGGTTCATGGATTTATAACAAGTATATCACTCTGCTGTGAGATGTTGATAGTGCAGAAGGCCCTGTGTGTGTGTGTGTGTGTGTGTGTGTGTGTGTGTAGTATATGGAACTCTCTGTACTTTCCACTCCATTTTGCTATGAACCTAAAAATGCTCTAAAAATAAAGTTTATTGATTAAAAAATAATCCCTTATCTTTTAGAGCTACATACTGAAATATTTATGGACCAAATGATATCCAGTCTAGAATCTGCATCAAAATAATATGTTGGGGAAAGTGGGTAGAAGTATAAATGAAATAAGATTGAGAATTGAGTTGACAGTAGAAGCTGAGTGAAGGGTACATGAGGATTTATTATGCTATTTCCCCTATTTGTGTCTGTGTTTGAAATTTTCCAGTGACAAATATTTTAAGAAGAGAGAGGGGTCACAACTATTTCTTTAGACATCCCCTTTGGTGAAAATAGTGGAATGTGGTTTGGGGCTGGGAGAAAGGGGATAGCCTGGAACTTAAAGTACGATTTGGGAATGGGCAAGGTCTAGGCTAGAGGAGGCAGGAAGGAAGATACGGGGCAAAGGATAGTATAGGAAATTGAAAGGGAAAGAACAGAAAAGGGAGATGGGCTTACTGCTTCCCCCCACCCTCTTTCTTCCCCTTTTCTTCACTTACTCATTCCTTAGCCTTCACCTCTGTGGATGAAAAATCATCTTGGACTTAACAATGAAGATTCCAGGCACCAAATTATGAAATTCCGATTCAGTCAGCATGGCCTGGGAGTCCACATTTTCCACATGGGCCTTCGCAGGATTGCAGGTATGCACCTCCCCTGAGCCCAGTGCTGGCCCTGTGAGCGGGCTGGTATTTCTGTCACTGACCTCTGCTCTGCTGGGCTGAAGACCAAACCACTGTGCTTTCCAAGTTTCTGGGACAGTGCCCACTGTTTCAAAGCAGAGAAAAAGAAAGGGGATGATAGATTATGTAAAGAGGTTGTTTCTTGATTTCCTTTAATGTGTGTGCGAAAATATGCAAATGATAAGGGTCTCTTGAGTGGGGTCTCTTGAGTGGGGGAAAACAGAAATGCATTAGCCAGCGATGGCTTGAAAGACATCTCCTTTAAGACCTTCCAGCCTGGCCAGTGTGGCTCAGGGCTGAGCATGGACCTAGGAACCAGGAGGTCACGTTGGATTCCCAGTCGGGGCACACGCCTGGGTGGCGGGCGATCGCCAACAGGGGGCGTGCAGGAAGCAGCCGATGGATGATTCTCATTA